AAGTGTTGTTATAAATATTGTATAGAAATTCTTATTACGCTTATTATGATGTTCTTAGAATAACTTTTAGGCTGATATTTGAATGACAACTGTTCTTTCTCTGAACATGCAAACAATGCTGGGATTAAGTTAAGATGTTCGTAGAATATTTATTATTCATCGTATATTTTCTTTGTTGTCATAAGACGTCTTGGATACTTGTCCGTTGATTTAGATGGAAATAATATTTTCAGACAATCGTTAGACTGTACATCTCGAAACTATAGTGCTTAAAAATATTTACTATTTAGTTTTTTATGTTTTCCAAAAATGTGGAATATTAGAACATATATTTCACACAAATATCTTATTTTTGCAGCCGCACATTGCTTGATGTGGAATGTTCGGACCAACGATACAGTTCCGGCAATATTATTAGAGGTTTCCTTAGGACGAGTTATTATACAGAGGCATGAGGGAGGTTCTGTTTATCGGAGAATCTATAGCTACACGATCCATCCCGATTATGCGCACACGGTCACTGGCGACTCTGATCTAGCAATTTTGACCCTCGCGGAGCCTGTCGAGTTTAGTCCTTATATTAAACCTGTTTGCCTGTGGCATGGTTCAGACACTCTTCAGAACGTTATCGATAAATTAGGATTTGATGTGGGGTGGAGAAAAAATGGGTATGGTTACCCCTTCTTAAGCCGTACGGTGGAAATGCGGATAGTGAGGCAGGTAAGAACCTTCACTGATAATTGCTATTATATAAAAGGAAGATTATAATAGTGACAACATTTGCTGTATATATTTTCACAATCTCCAAATAAATTTCCAAATGAATCAAATCATTGCACGCTCCTTGAGTAGGATTAATATATGTGCCAATTGTGCGATTATTAATTATGCGAATTTTTGTGAACATTTTTTATATAATACAATCCCATAAAATTCTAAGATACCAACGACATCGGAAAATCGTGCAATCTATGCTATCATTGTGAAAAGAAATATTGCAAATGCTGAAGATTTTGTACAAATTTTAGGAGACCTGTCGCCGAAGTCACGAGCATTTCATCGATCTCATTTCGGAGCGAACTTTTTGCGCCGTTGATCAAGATCTCGAAGGTCCTTGCTACGCCTACAGTGGGAGTGCGTTAATGATCTATGACAATAAGACTAACCGCTTTATGTTACGCGGCATTGTTTCGAGGACGTTACCTAGTGAGGATGACTATGTATCGTGCGATCAAGAAAATTACGTTGTTTATGTCGACGTGGCCCAATATGTATCTTGGATTGAACAGCAGATCTCCACCACGTAACGCTAGTCTCCTAACACCCTGTCTTGGCTTTTGCTTTTTTATTTATTCGTATCTACAATTTCACATTAGAGCCATATGACTTTATTAATTGCTTAATATAAATGTATATCATTAATTGCTAAAGAACTAGTTATTTATTAATTATAACGGTAATTTCTCCTTACATATATTTACTAGACAAGTGTTTAAATAGCATTTATTCAAAATCTTGCGAGAAGTGAAAATTAAGTGTAGGTACAAATTTTATATTATAAATATAAAGCATTATGAAAAGTATAAAAAATATTGCCGGCAACTCTGCTTATGTGATTATTAAATATATATTTAGCGAACCGCCAAGCCAACCAGAAACTACGGCGACTCCGCTTCCAGTGCCAACACTGAACACTAAACGCCCATTATTCTCTAACATCACTACTCCAACATACGAAATAGACATACCATATTATAATGACACTGACCAATGCGGTCGGATGGGTTACGTCAATCAACTGGTTACTAGAGGAGAATCGACAAATCCGGCAGAATGGCCGTGGTTAGTGGCCCTCTTCGTTCTAAGACCAAACCTCAAGTACCAGTGTGCTGGCACCGTTCTGACAACTAGACATGTTATAACAGGTACTTTAAAAAATCGAAGAATTAAGTTTTATATTATTATTATCTTCTCCGTCTATCGAATAATATAAGTATTTGCATTATACATATATACTTTCTTTCTTGAATTGTAAGAGATTTATTTGCTTATTTATAGTCACATAAATTAAATTAGGATTTTATTTTCCATAGGCATAAAAATTAATCATTGGATTCAGATCATATTTCTTACTATCTTCTCCTTATTAATCCGGGATATCCCGAGATATTGAAGAATGTTCTTCACACGCGCCAAGTGTTGTTATAAATATTATATAGAAATTCTTATTACCCTTATTATGATGTTCTTAGAATAACTTATAGGCTGATATTTGAATGACAACTGTTCTTTCTCTGAACATGCAAACAATGCTAGGATTAAATTCAGACGTTCGTAGAATATTTATTATTCATCCTATATTTTCTTTGTTGTTATAAGACGTCTTGAATACTTGTCCGTTGATTTAGATGCTCTAGAAAAAAAAGTCAGTTACAACCCATTTTGGGGCCCACAATTAGTAATCGAATTATTTAGATTGTTCGTAACTCTAATCTTTTACGGATTTTATCTCGCTTAACTAAAAATCACAATTAGCCGTTCTATCTGTATCCAAGATATTAGAGTAATACTAATCATTTCTCTCAATTAGTTCTGTCGATATTCAGTAACGCAAAGATAATTTTCACTTAAGTGGCAATAACCGAAATGTTAAGTTGCTTAACTACATAAAAAAACGGTCAAAATTTTTCCCAGAGTAGAGTTACGAACAATCCAAATAATTCGATTACTAATGGTGGGCCCCAAAATGGGTTATAACTGTCTTTTTTTTCCCCAGAGTGGAAATAATATTTTCGCACAATCGTTAGACTGTACATCTCGAAACTAGTGCTTAAAAATATTTACTATTTAGTTTTTGTTTTCCAAAAATGCAGAATATTAGAACATATATTTCATAAAAGTTTCTTATTTTTGCAGCCGCAAATTGCATGAAGTGGAATGATACGACCAACGATACAATTCCTGCCAATTTATTAGAGGTTGCCTTAGGACGATTTAATTTACGCCAGTGGCGTGAGGAGGGTTCTGTTAATCGGGAAATCTATAACTACACGATCCATCCCGATTATGCGTACACGATCTCTGGCGACTCTGATCTAGCAATTTTGACCCTCGTGGAGCCTGTCGAGTTTAGCCCTTTTATTAAACCTGTTTGCCTGTGGACTGGTTCAGACACTCTTCAAAACGTTATCCATAAATTAGGATTCGTTGTAGGGTGGGAAAAAGATGAGGATGGTAATTACTCCGGCACCCCACGGATGGAGAAAATGTCGATAGTGAACCAGGTAAGAACCTTCACTGATAATAAGCCAGGTATTTGCTTTTCATAACTTTGGCTGTTCGATCGATACTAGAGTTGAATTTCAATGGCAGACTACGTTGTCTAGCCGGAAAATGTCCAAAATATGAAGATACCTCATTTAGAACAAATAATTATATCGTGAAAGGGAAACGCTTAGAGACTTTTGTTAACGATAGGCGACTCTCAATTTGATTTCACTATCTGTATAATTACATAATTCCTATTATAACAGAAAGATTATAATAGTGACAACGTTTGCTATATATATTTTCACAATCTTTAAATGAATTTCCAAATGAATCAAAGTCATTGGACGCTCCTTGAGTAGGATTAGTATATGTGCCAATTGTTAAGTGCGATTGTTAATTATGCGAATTTTTTTGAACATTTTTTATGTAATACAATCCCATAAAATTCTAAGATACCAACGACATCGGAAATCGTTCAATCGATGCTATCATTGTGAAAAGAAATATTGCAAATGCTGAAGAATTTGTGCAAATTATAGGAGGAGTGTCTCTGGCTGACTCTCGAGGTTTTCTTCAATCTCACTACATCGCGAACTTTTTGCGCCGGTGCGCGAGAACGCAGAGGTCTCTACGGCTACAGTGGGAGTGCGTTAACGATCTTTGATGATAACGTGAACCGCTTTCAGTTACGCGGCATTTTTTCGACGGCATGGTACTTTCCCTATTCCAGTGTACCGTACGATGTAATTCACGTTGTTTATGTCGACGTGGCCAAATATAAAACCTGGATTGAAGAGCAGATCTCCACCACGTAACCCTAGTTTCTTGCAGAACTCCAAATGTGTTAATAGATATACTTTTTATATAAATTCTATCTAAATCGCTACACCATATTATCATAGGTACATGAGAATTAAAGGTACGAATTTTACTTTGAACTTTTTACGGTGATTCTTGTTACCGTAATGCAGCTTTGGATCTTAAAAAAATACATTAGAATACTTTACAAGAGCGTCTAAAAAAGCAAGGATGTGTGTGTGTGTGTGTGGCTAAATAATTATTGTAATTAATTAATAAAACTACGTAGTTATTCTTCAGTTTAGCTACGCCAGCACCAAATCAATGAAGTTAGGCTCAATCGTGTTTTTACACGAAACGAATGAATCTGGCAAAAAAAAGTATCACTCTGCCTCTCGAAGCGAGAAATTAATTAAGTTAAAGTTGGCGACAGGTTACGAAATCTGTTATACCGACGACAGTTGCGTTCGACATTGCAAATCTGAGATGTCGTTCTCTCGCATTAGAGTGAGCGAGAGAGGAGAATGAAATAGAAAGAGAGGAAGAGCACTTCGATGCCTCAGATTTGCAACATAAACATGTCCCATAACTATATTTAAAAAGTATAAATATAAAATATTTTCTCCTTTAATCATAACGATAATTCGAACGACTTCTCTACTGACGTAGCTAAACTGAAGAATTAGTAAAAGAGAAGATTTATTCTATAACACAAAACGAACGCAAAGTTTAGTTGGTGGATTGGTGGATTGATAAGAATAACGTTAGAGTCATGAAAAAGGAGGAAAGTAATGAACCGATAGCGACAGTAAGGAGATAATAATAAATCGAATAATAAAGAAAAAGCAGACAGTTACTCGCGAGAGTCGCGTTGAATCTCATTGCAGTTTCAAAGTCGATAAATAAAGTAATGATCATACTCGCTAGAATCGGTGATACAATTGTTAAATGAACAAGGTGCAAGAGGAATATGTGCTCGTAGATTGCGCGAAATACTGATTCGCGTGTTAGTGTCCATTCGCCATATGGAATAATTTTTCTTTCGAATGTAATCTACCAGTAAAGTAACAAACGCTTCTTCCGAAATTGCGTGAAACTTGAAGAACAAAATTCGTAAATATTAAGTACATTTAGAAACCATGTATTTTCTTAGTTTTGTAACAGAACCTTGTAAGATGCCCATCAAGATTTCTATCTTGATTACATTGCTATTTTCTCCCATGGTATATGGTGATACACCTCCATGCTCGGAATACTTTACATATTCGGTCGATCCTACGACAAACAATATATCAGGACACATTGCAATTTCACCTCCAGCAGTGAACGATGAATTTTATTTAATGGTATTCTTAGAGGCTAATTTGACGGTGAGTATTCCTTTTAACACTTTTAAGAATATAGAAAAGAAACTTATGCCTACCCACAATATCAGTTCGTAGCTATTAATGCAGACGATATATAACAATCTTTAATACGTTGAAATGTAGCCTTTTGAAAACACAATTTGCCTGTTCAGAGTCGTATAATTACTATAATTAATGCTGTAAAAAATAAAACTACTTTATGTCATAAGAGAGGCACACTTTGAAATAGGCAAAGTGAAATTTAAACTATTTTTTCTACAAAATGATTTGGTTTATGTATCTTTACGTATATATAATGATCTTTTCACATACATGGTCTGTCTGTCCAGAAAGTATCGGGACTGATTTTCTCTAGCCAATGGGAAGGGTTGGGGAGCAGAGACAATTGTGCCGGGTCACATCGTATATATGACATTCTCCACGAATTTTCCTGCCCATGCAGACCACCCCCTCCCCCATCCCTTCCCCTTGGCTAGAAAAAAATCAGTCCCGATACTTTCTGGGCAGACTATGTATATCTAGATATTAACAAAATCTATTATTCGCCGGAAAATGTGAAATTGTTCTAAATTAATTATGAGTGCAACGGTGATGATGGTTCAAAGCAGAGCTGAAAAGTCCAGTTTATAAATACGTTATCTTATTAGTAACGTGAAATAGATGTAATGTAAACTTACTTACTGTTAACCGCGATGTATTTTCCATTAAAATTTTTGTTTGATTAATTTTATCTTTATTTATCTTTATTTTATTAATTTCAATACCGACAACTTTTGATTACGCAATAATGTAATTAAAATACATTATATATTATTACATTTCAGGATGGATCGTTTCGATTGGTGTTGGTACGATCGATACAAGATTCCATTCAAGCCATCCAACAAGGCAGACCTTTGTTGTACCGTGTTAATTTTCCTACCGAGGAAAATTTTCCAATAGTCTCAGCGATATGGTTCAATAATCAGAAATATTGTATTGGTTCCGAAGGTGAGGATCATTTACTTGGAAATTGTACAATATAAATATCACATGTATTTGTGAAAATAGAAACAAATGTTTTTTGCTGTTATCTGGCCATATGTAATTTTCAAGTAACATAGAGGAGATAAACAAAAAGATGAAACTCATTAACAGTTTTAAAAATTCAAAAATTCTCTTACATTCATCATCGTTTTCTATCCTCACGTAAAAAAGATTTTTCAATCGTTCCTTGTATTTGGAAATTATTTTTTTCTCGGCAGAAAAATCTGTTCGCTGTCTAAAAGAATACCTATGCGATTTAAGGAGTATGTTACATTTTGTTTTAGCATCTGGAAATAGGACACATATTATTGAGTTGGGACATATTGTGTTTCCACCAACGGAAGAGTCTAATTTGCAAAATTTTCAGCCGTGGCATCGAAATTCGAGCAGCTATAGTACATATTATAAGACTTCTTCTGATTTTTATAATCATCAACCCACTACTGCCGCTCCTTCTGATAAAACTGTCCACAATGAAGAACGCATTAGCAGTAATAGTACTATTAACAACGAATGCGGTGTCACCAGTTACTACACCGATAGCACAAATAAACTGTTGCCCGACTGTGACAGCACATTACCAGGTCAATGGCCGTGGGTGGTGGCAATTTATGTTCTAAAATCAGAACAAACGAGCGAATTTAGGTGTAGTGGTTCAGTTCTAACAACTAAACATATTATAACAGGTATATTAGTTTTTTTTCCTCCGAGATAGAGATTGTAGATTTAAAATAATATATTCTATTACGTATATATCATTTCTTCTTTTTACAGTGGAGCCTTGCTTGAAATTGAGACGTTACGGCCCCAACACTGTACAAGTTCTCAACGATATGTACGCAGCCTTTGGACAATATAACTTGCGTCAGTGGCATGAGACGGGAACTCTAAATCGCAAGATCAAGGACTATACTTATACTAGTATATTTCGGGGAATTCCCTCGGTACGTAAATAGTCAAACGTATGTATTCTCGCATTTGAGGGACTCGGTACTTTGATGTGGCAATACCGCGTAAACATTTGATTGCACCGCTTGCACATTCAATGTGCACGCGACCTTCGCACACTTCTCGCGTTATTGTGTGTATGTACATACATTCAATACATTCAGAGTAGGAGCAGATCGAATCCTTAAATCGTGAAGATGAAAAAAAGCGTACGAGAACTTTTTTTTGGAAAGGCAAGGGATTGACTGAAAAGGTGTATAAGAAAAGATGTAATCAGATTGAATTGGCGAGAAAACTGAAAAGAGTTGGTGAAAGATTTGAGAGATTATTATTGTTGCTATGTATGCGTTTCATTATATTTTCAGAAACCTTTTTTAATTCAAACGTTGAAAAATCTACGTGATAAATTTTTAATTCAATTAAGTATTATTTTTTTCGTGACTGGAAAACCTACACTGACGAATTGTCCAGCAGATAATATTATGGATAGTGTGCACTCTAATCTCTTTTGCGACATTGCCACATCGGCCGGCTACCTGTAAGATTATCGAGATTCAATATAAATTGCTTATTTCTACGCTCTGAATCAGTATTTTTGAGTACACAACATGTTCTTCAGTCTTTAAAGTTATAACCCATCTTCTTCTCTCAATCTTTGTACTGAAAGTTAACAAAAATTTAACTGAGTAACTCTTGGACCAATATCTACTAATATATCGAGTTTTATAATTAACTGAATCGTAATTCTCTAACCGAGAGTACTACCTTAAGACGTATAGAGACAAGTACTATCTCGGGATTTTAACCGTCGAGACGCCCGTCGAATACAGCCCGTTCATCAAACCTATTTGCTTATGGGACAGAGCAGACGATTTTGAAGACATCTCTTTTCGGACAGGATATGTAGTGGGATTTGACACGAATGTATCTGAAAACCAAACCACCAGGCTCGAAGAACTACGGATGGCAAGGGTGATGATACTGGACAAAGTTAGAATCTTTATGATAATTGTTTTTTCGCTCGCCGCGACTTCCATTTTATGTAACTGTTCGACCGACGTTCAAATTAAATTCAATTCATAAAGTTCTGTAGAAATAAAAATCAATTTTAATGAGACTAAATCTGATACTTATATCACGGAAGAGAAACGCTTAGAAATTTTTGCATATGTTTGTATCGTTATGACGTCGTGCGAAATTCTATTTAATTTCGCTATGTTTGAATTATTACATAGTTAATGATTATTAGAATAATAATCAATGTAATGACTCGACCCATTCTCGATTAATTACGTATAGAAAAATGTCATTTTCGGTCAAGTTGGATCTTGGTAGCCTTACAATAATATTTCATGTGAATTGTATATTTTTTCCCAACTCACCAAATTGTGAACCGATTATTCGTTTTGATTGGTTTTGATATACAGTATTACCATGTCTCTGATAGAATTAGTAAAGACGCCCGTCACTGATTGAAGGAATGTCTAGATTAAAACCCTGAATGAGATATTTTTCGCTACAAATTTCTTATGGAATATTATAAACGCGCTCATTAGAACCAAATTGTGCAAATAACAAAAATCCGATTTTGTTGAACAAATTTTAGGAATACTGTTCCGCGGATAACCAGACTGACACATCCATTGACAAATTCTGCGTCCAATTGCAAAACGTAGGGCAATCTTGCTACGCTGACAGCGGGAGCGGGCTGGTGCTCAATGTAGGTGGACGTTATCTGTTGCGCGGCGTTGTTCTGCGACAGATGACATCAACGAGTGTATATGTCACCGTTGATATAGCCAAACACCTACACTGGATTCTGGATACGATTCAAAGGGAGCCTGTCCGCTACTAATAGTAGAACATGTATTAGACAACAAGCTTTAACATTAATTTCACCACTTGCGAGAAATGAAAATTAAATGTATAAATTTTACTTTCTTCTTACGGCAATTTTTCTTAACATATTGCATTACTTACAATAATAAATAAATTGTGTAAGTAGATGTAAATGTAAATATCTGTTATTGTGAATTTATTAGCAATAAATGATAAATCATGTTATGATACGCATTATGATATAATTGCAGATGCTTATGTTCCATCATATTAAATATCTCATCAATATATTATATTGCAAAGCAATATAAAAATAAAAGAAGTATTGTCACAGATTCTACTTGTGACTAGACATTTATTAAATACAGATATTGAATTCAGATATTGAGTTCGTGTTTAAACCCTGGCTGAGGTAAATATTTCATAATAAATTAAAAAATTGAAATCATTTAGACACTAGTATCCTGTCTTGACTCTTATATCCTTTATTACTTCGTATTTGTGACTTTGAAATAGTTTGTACGAATATCTAAATAAATAAGAATGGCTAAATAATTAATAAATTAATAAAAATGTATTATCGAGAAAATATTGAAGTATTTATGTGTTGTAATCTTCACTCTGGTTTCCGCGCCCTCGTCCTTCTATCGTCGTTTAATACGGTGGGCGGTAGATCGTTCACAACTTTCCTCGTAACAACAGTCAAAAGGTGAATCTCCGTCAGAAATCGCTATAATCGCTGGCAGAAAAGATTTATTATAAAATAGAGAGATAATAACGACTAGGTACGCAAAATAACCTGACGGTTGACGGCGTCTCCGTAGAGGGTGAAACCAAAAAAAATAACGACTAGGTCTTTTCGTCGGTAATACCGCTTGTATCCTTAACAAAGAATAACATAAAACGAAAGCAAATTCTGGTTGGTGGATTGATAAAAAATAACGTTATAGTAATGAAAAAGAAGAAAAGTAAACAACTGATATCGACAGTAAGGAGATAAGAAAGCGAATAATAAAGGAAAAGCAGACAGTTACACACGAGAGTCGCGTTGAGTCTCATCGCAGTTTCAAAGTTCATAAATAAAGTAATGATCATACTCGCTAGAATCAGTTATACAATTGTTAAATGAACAAGGTGCAAGAGGAATATGTGCTCGTAGATTGCGCGAAATATTATGATTCGCGTTGGTGTGCATTCGCCATATGGAATAATATTCCTTTTGAATGTAATCCACTTGTAACGTAACATACAATTATTTCGAAATTGCTTGAAATATGAGGAACAAAATTCGTAAATTTTAAGTGCACATAGAAACCATGTATTTTCTTAGTTTTGTAACAGAACCTCGCATGATGCCTAAGATTTCTATTTTGATCACCTTGCTATTTTCTACCATGGTATATGGTGATACACCATCATGCTCGGAATACTTTACATATTCGGTCGATCCTAAGACACGCGTTATGTCAGGACAGATTACAATTCCACCTCCAGCAGTAAACGATGAATTTTATTTAAAGGTAGCCTTAAAGACTAACGTTCATTTGACGGTAAGTATTCTTTTTAACACTTTTAAGAATAGAGAAAAGAAACTTATGCATACCCACAATGTTAGTTCGTAGCTATTAATACAGACGATATGTAACAATCTTTAATACGTTGAAATGTAGCCTTTTTAAAACACAATTTATCTGTTCAGAGTCGTATAATTACTATAATTAATGCTGTAAAAAAATAAAACTACTTTACCTCGTAAGAGGGACACACATTGAAATAGGTAGAAAAGTGTAATTTAAACTATTTTTTTTACAAAATGATTTTAGGTTTATGTACCTTTACGTATATAAAAAGGTTCTTTTCACATATATCCAGGTATTATCAAAATCTATTGCTCGCCGGAAAATGTGAAATTGTTTTAAATTAATTATGACCGCAACTTTGATGATGGTTCAAAGCAGAGCTGAAAAGTCCAGTTTATAAATACGTTATCTTATTAGTAACGTGAAATAGATGTAATGTAAACTTACTTACTGTTAACCGCGATGTATTTTCTATTAAAATTTTTGTTTGATTAATTTTATTTTTATTTATCTTTATTTTATTAATTTCAATACCGACAACTTTTAATTACGCAATAATGTAATTAAAATACATTATATATTATTACATTTTAGGATGGATCGTTTCACTTGGAGTTGGTACGATCGATAAAAGATTCCATTGAAGCTATCCAACACGGCAGATCTTTGTTGTACCGTGTTAATTTTCCTTCTGAAGACAATTTTCCAATAGTCTCAGAGATATGGTTCAATAATCAACAATATTGTCTTAATTCCGAAGGTGAGGATCATTGTTTTTTGAGAAAATAGAAACAAATAGAAACAAATTTGTTTTTGCTGCTATCTGACTACATGTAATTTTCAACTAACATAGAGAAGACTACAAGAGAAGACTAAACTAAAAGATAAAACTGTTTAACAGTTTAAAAAATTCAAAATTCTCTTACGTGTGTCATCGTATTCTATCCTCATGTAAAAAAGATCTCACTATCGTTCATTGTATTTGGAAATTACTTCTTTGTTCGCTAGAAAGGTCTGTTCTATCTGTAAAAGAACATGCGATTTAAGAGATATGTTACGTTTCGTTTTAGCATCTGGAAATTGGAAGCATACTATCGAGTTGGGACATATTGTGTATCCACCAAAGGAAGAGTCAAATTTGCAAAATTTTCAGCCGTGGCATCGAAATGCGAGCAGCTACCGTGTATATGATCCGACTTATTATTACTTGAATGATTCTCAACCCACTATTGACGCTCCTTCTGATAAAACTGCCCACAATGAAGAACACATTAGCAGTAATAGTACTATTAACAACGAATGCGGTGTCACCAGTTACTACACCGATAGCACAAATAACCTGGTGCCCAACTGTGAGAACTCATTACCAGGCCAGTGGCCGTGGGTGGTGGCAATTTATGTTCTAAAATCAGAACGTACGAGCGAATTTAGGTGTAGTGGTTCAATTCTAACAACGAAACATATTATAACAGGTATATTAATATTTTCTTTTTCCTCCGATATAAAGATTGTGGACTTAAGAAAATATATTCTATTACGTTTATAATATTTCTTCTTTTTACAGTGGAGCCTTGTTTGAAATTGAAGCGTTATGCTAACAACACTATACAAATTCCCGACAATATGTACGCAGCCTTTGGACAATTTAACTCGCGTCAGTGGCATGGAATGGGAAATTTTAATCGCAAGGTCACTAACTTTAGGACTACGGGCACGAACTATATTTATAACAACAAAATCGAGCACTATCTCGCGATTTTAACTGTCGAGACGCCCGTCGAATATAGCCCGTTCATCAAACCCATTTGCTTATGGTACAGATCGGACGATTTTGCGGACGTCGTTCATTGGACAGGATATGTGGTGGGTTATGACAGGAATGTATCCCAAACACAAAACATCATCGAGGAACCACGGATGTCAAGAGTGACGGTACTGGATAAAGTAAGAATTTTTATGATAATTGTGTTTCCGCCCGCCGCGACTTCCATTTCATGTAACTGTTCGACCGACGGTCAAATTAAATTCTATTCGTGAAGTTCTGTAGAAATAAAAATGTACTTCAATGAGACTAAATCTGATATTTATATCGCAGAAGAGAAACGCTTAGAGATTTTTGCATATGTTTGCATCGATATGACGACGTACAAGATTCTATTTAATTTTGCTGCGTTTGAATTATTACATAATTAATGGTTATTATAACAATAATCAATATAATAACTAGACCGATACGATTTTTAATTAATTAAGTACAGAGAAATGTCATCTTCGGTCAAGTTGGATCTTGGTAGCCTAATAATAATATTTCATATGAATTGTATATTTTTTCCTAACTCACCAAATTGTGGACCGATTATTCGATTTGATTGGTTTTGATATACAATATCACTATGTCTCTGATAGAATTAGTATAATAAAGACGCCCGTCACTGATTGAAGGGATGTCTAGATTAAAACCTTGGCTGGGATAATTTTTGCTATAAATTTTTTATAATATATTCAAAACACGCTTATTAGAACCAAATTCTGCAAATACTGAAAATCCGACTTTGTTGAACAAATTTTAGGAGCACTGTCTCGCGGATAACCCGAATGCCACATCCAAGAACAGATTCTGCGTCGAATTGGAAAACGTAGGGCAATCTTGCTACGCTGACAGCGGGAGCGGGGTGGTATTCTATGCACCAGGCCGTTATATGTTGCGCGGCATTGTCCTGGAAGAGGTAACAACAGCCACGTACATATGTCACGATTGATGTAGCTAAATACCTACCTTGGATTCTGACTACGATTCATTCCCGCGCCGACTACTCCTAGTAGAAAATATATTAGAAAACACGTGATTAAGTAACATTAATCTCAGCACTTGCGAGAAATAAGAATTAAATGTATAAGTTTTACTTTCTTCTTACGGCCATTTTTCTTAACATAATGCATTACTTACAATAATAAATAAATTGTGTAAGTTGATGTAAATGTAAATATCTGTTATTGTGGATTTATTAGCAATAAATGATAAATCATGTTATGATACGCATTATGATATAATTGCAAATGCTTATGTTCCATTATATTAAATATCTCATCAATATATTACATTGTAAAGCAATACAAAAATAAAAGAAATATTGTCACAGATTCTACTTGTGACTAGACATTGATTAAATACAGATATTGAATTTGTAATTATAACAATTTCAATTTTGTCTGTGTTTAACATATATTATTTAACAACTTCAAGTTTTTTTGACCGTATCTGGCTATTTTAATGTTCCAACCTCGCTACGTTTCGACCATGGGTTTTGGTCCTTTTCAAGCGAAAAAACTATGCAAAGTAAAAGGTGCTTAGATTAATACATAAATGTCGAAGTCGTGTATGTTGCGTCAATAGATAAGGAAATTTTAAATATATTATTTAACCTTATAAGATTAATATAAAAAACCAAAATATGATTAAGGCACATACCCTTTATTCTATTTTATAAATCTTAAAAATATTCATATATATTAATTAAAATTTTTTTTTCGAAATACAACATATGCGTTATTATGTGTGTTTGCATAGTATACTGCACAGTAAATAAAAGCCTATACTATTGTGTAATAACTTTGGGCCATTAAGAAGCACAAAAGTGTATATAAAAAAATTAATTACATACCTCGGTGGTCGAATTGGTGAAACGCCCGCTTAGTGAGAAGGAGGTCCATGTTCAAACGCTGACTGAGGCAAATTTTTCGCAATAAATTTAAAAATTAAAATCATTTAGACACTAACATCTTGGCTCTTATATCCTTTATTACTTCGTATTCGTGACTGTACGAGTATCTGAAAAATAAGAATGGCTAAATTATTAGCAAATAAATACAAATATTAACGAGAAGTTAACGAGAAAATATTGAAGTATAACGCCAAACGAAATGCACATTCTGGTTGGTGAATTTGTGGATTGATAAGAAATAACGTTGTAGTCATGAAACAAGAAAAAAATAAACGGCCGATATCGACAATAAGGAGATAATAATAAGTCGAATAATAAAGCAGACAGTTACACGCAAGAGTCGCGTTGAGTCTCCCCGCAGTTTAAAATTCAATAAATAGAGTAATGATCATACTCGCTGGAATCGGTGATAGAATTATTAAATAAACAAGGTTCAAGAGGAATATGTGATCGTAATACTCTGATTCAAGTGTTGGTGTCCATTCGCAATACAGAGTAATGTTTCTTTCGAGTGTAATCTACTTGTAATGTAACAGACAATTATTTCGAAATTGCGTAAAATATGAAGAACAAAATTCGTAAATAAATAAAATTAAGTACAGTTAGAAACTATGTATTTTTTAGTTTTGCAACACAGCCTCGCAAAATGCCTAAGATTTCTATCTTCGTCACTTTGCTATTTTTTATCATGGTATATAGTGGCACCCCTCCATGCTCGGAATACTATACATATTCGATCAATTCTACGACAAAGAGTATATTAGGACAAATTGCAATTCCACCTCCACCAGAAAACGATGAATTTTATTTAAAGGTAGTCTTAGAGACTAACGCTGATTTAAGGGTAAGTATTTATTTTAAGACTTTTAAGAATATAGAAAAGAAACTTATGCATACAATGTTAGTTCGTAGCTCTTAATGCAGACGATAATAACAATCTTTAATACGTTGAAATTCAGTGTCGTATAATTACTATAATTAATACTGTAAAACAAATAAAACTACTTAATGTAGTAAAAGGGATACACATTGAAATAAACAAAGTATAATGTAAGAAATGTCTTCCAACAAAATGGTTTATGTGTATCCTACACATATGAAATAATTTCTTCATATATACCTAAATTTTAATTAAATCTATTGCTCGCCGGAGAATATGAGATACCTAGTTTTAAATTAATTGTGACCGCAATGCCGATGATGGTTCGAAGCAGAGCAGAAAAGTTCAGTTCGTAAATACGTTATTATCTTATTAGTAATTTGAAATATTTGTAATGTTAACTTACTCACTGTTAAATGCGATGTATTTTTTCTTAAAACCTTTTAGTAATTTTATCTATATTTTAGTAATTTCAATATCGACAACTTTTTGTTAATTAACAATGTAATTTAAATAATTATTTATCGTTACATTTCAGAATGGGATGTTTCGATTGGAGTTGTTACGATCGATAAAAAATTCCATTCAAGCTATCCAACAAGGCAGACCTTTGTTATACCGTGTTAATTTTCCTACCGGGGAAAATTTTCCAATAGTCTCAGCAATATGGTTCAATAATCACCAATATTGTCTTGACTCCAAAGGTGAACATTACATTTACTTGAAGTACAAAATAAATGTCACATATAGTTGCAAAATTAGAAGCAAGATTTGATTTTACTGCTACTGATTACCTGCATGTAATTTTCAACTAACATAGCAAACATAAACAAAAAGATAAAACGCAAAACTAAAAAGTTATAAACATTTAAAATTTTCTCATATCACCGTTTTTTATCTTCAATAGTAAAAAATAGTTTCACGATCATTCGATGTGTTTGGAAATTACTTCTTTCACCGGCGGAAAAAATCTGTTGTTTCTCTAAAAGAACATACGATTTAAGAAATATGTTACATTTCGTTTTAGCATCGAGTGGAAAAGTCAACACTATCATGTTGGGACATATTGTGTATCCACCAAGTGAAGAGTCAATTTCGAAATATTTTCAGCCGTGGTATCGAAATTCGAGCAGCTACCAATTGTACAATCCGGTTAATAATAATCCGCGTAATATTAGTAGTAATAGTACTATTAATGAGGAATGTGGTGTCACCAGTTACTATACCGATAGGACAAATAACCTGGTACCCAACTGTGAGTACTCATCACCAGGCCAATGGCCGTGGGTGGCGGCAATTTATATTCTAAAATCAGAAGGAACGACCAAATTTAGGTGTAGTGGTACCTTTATATCAACTAAACATATTATAACAGGTATATTAACATTTATTTTTATTTTTTCTCCGATAGAGATTGTAGATTTAAAAAAATATATTCTATTACGTATATTTCTTCTTTTTACAGTGGAGTCTTATAAGACATTGAAGCGTTTGGGTTACGACACTATGGAAGTTCCCGACAATATGTACGCAGTCTTTGGACAATTTAACTCACGTCAGTGGCATGGGACAGGAACTTTTAATCGCCAGATCATTGACTATGTTTATAAAACTGTATATATTACTAAATTTTCTACACGTAAAGTTAGGGACAAGTATTATCTTGCGATTTTTACCGTCGAGTCGCCCATCGAATACAGCCCGCTCATCAAACCTATTTGCTTATATGAATGGGGCGGAAATGACAGTTTTGTGGACATCGTTTATCAGACAGGATATATAGTGGGATTTGACAGGAATGTGTTCGAAGAACAAAACATCATCGAGGAACCACGGATGGCAAGGGTGACGCTACTAGATAAAGTAAGAATTTTTATGATAATTGCTTTTTCACCCTCCGCGACTTTCATTTCATGTAACTGTTCGACCAACGTTCAAATTAAATTCTATTCGTGAAGTTCTGGAGAAATAAAAATGTACTTCATTAATTTTGCTGCGTTTGAATTATTACATAGTTAAAGGTTATTATAACAATAATCAATATAATAACTAAACCGATACAATTCTCAATTATGTAAGTATAGAGAAATGTCATTTTCGGTCAAGTTGGATCTTGGTAGCCTAATAATAATATTTCAAGTTAATTGTATATCTTTTCACAACTCAGCAAATTGTGGACCAATTATTCGTTTTGATTGGTTTTTGATATACAATATCACTATGTCTCTGATAGTAGTATAATAAAGACGCCCGTCACTGATTGAAGGGATGTCTAGATTAAAACCTTGGCTGGGATAATTTTTGCTATAAATTTTGTATAATATATTCAAAACACGCTTATTAGAACCAAATTCTGCAAATACTGAAAATCCGACTTTGTTGAACAAATTTTAGGCTGACTGTGTCGCGAATAACCAGAATGTTGCATCCAAGAACAGATTCTGCGTCCAAATGCAAAACGTGGGGCGTTCTTGCTACGTTGACACCGGGAGCGGACTGGTGCTCAGTGTCGATGGCCGTTATCTATTGCGGGGCATTGTTCTGAAAAAGTTAATAACATCCTCGTCATCGCCTGTGTATGTCACCATCGATGTAGCTAAACACCTATATTGGATTGTTAATTCAACGATTCTTCAACGAATCGACTTCAAGTTTGTTAGCGCATGGTATAATTCACATCAATCCACGATCGCCCTGCGTTAACATGGGGCGCTGACATCTGTTGTACATTGACAGTACTCGTACTACTAACGCCCGCCATTACTACTACTCTGTACGTCGTCGAGCCCGCGCTTTATTATCCCGCCTGCGCTTTATTCTACTGTATCAATAAACGTGTTTAAGTGCAGACCGCCGTGTTAATATACTGACCCCGGCTATCCTTACGATAATCCTAACAGGTTATGGGCCCAGGTGCGTCGCGATAGTTGAAATAGTAAAAAGTGTCAGTTACGGCGAAAAGCTAACCTGCTCAATCATGTACACCGCGGGCGTGACGCGAATCGAGTGTCTCGGAAAGGACAATTACGATACATGGAGACTTCACATGGAAGCTCTCCTCGTCAAGAATGATGCCTGGTCGTACGTGAGCGGCGAGCTCGCGAAGCCCGAAGTCGTGGCCGGCGACGCCGCGTCGGAAGCCGCGCGAAAAACGTGGGAAAGAGGCGATGCTAAGGCGAAATCCGATATCATCCTGGCAATCGGCAGTTCCGAGCTGAAGCAGATTAAAGGCTGCATTACCGCACGCGATGTTTGGCTGAAGCTAGAAGGGATATACCAATCGCGGGGACCCGCCAGGAAAGCTACGTTATTGAAGAGACTAATGCTTCATCGAATGGAGGAAGGCAGCGACGTTCGCGAACATATAAGTAAGTTTTTCGATGCAGTCGATAAATTACAAGACATGCAGGTCGAAATTCATCCCGATGTATTGGCAACGATGCTTCTGTATAGTCTGCCGGCGAGTTTCGACAATTTCAGATGCGCAATTGAAGCTCGCGATGAATTGCCCGCGCCCGACACACTGCGTGTCAAGATCGTCGAGGAAAACGAGGTGCGAAAGGGCGAGACTCACAATACTGGTGCCAAGGCTACGTTCGCGAATAAACATAAGGGCCGAAAACGCGACATCAAGCCGACGGCACATGAACGCAAGGACAACACACCAGCGGACGACAAAGGCGTTAGTAAAATTCGCTGCTACAAGTGCAACAAACAAGGGCACAAGGCCGCAAATTGCGTTTCCAAAAGCGATAAAAACCAGTCAGCGAAAAGTGCCGAGCAAGTGTCGTTACGTGCAGACATCGCTCTACAAGCCAGCGCGATCGAGCCGCGTCAAGTATGGTGTTTGGACAGCGGCGCTACCACACATCTCTGTGGTGATCTGGAGGCATTTTACGAGATAAGCGATTCAAGACCGGGAAAATTAAATCTGGCGAACAGTGCTTCAACCGAAACGACCGCTGAAGGCAAGGTGATGGTCACGGCCGACGTAAATGGAGAAAATAAACTCGTGTCGCTAAGCAAGACTTTACACGTTCCGGACCTCCGTACAAATCTAATGTCCGTAAGCAAGATAACGGATAGCGGTTTCGAAGTACTATTCTCTAAAGAGAACGCGAAGGTACTGGACAGAAGCGGAGACGTCAAACTGGTCGCGGACAGAATTGGCGGTCTATATTTCGCACGCGAAATCAAGGACAAATCCGACTCGGAACCTAGCTGCGCGCTATCCACATCAGTCAACCTCTCGGATTTTGAGCTGTGGCACCGCAGGCTTGGCCACGTGAACACAAGAGATCTCATCGAGGCGCAACGACATGGAACAATCAACGGTTTGAAATTCGATACCAAGGAATTTACCTGCGAAACCTGCCTCAAAGGAAAGATGACTCGCGCACCTTTTCCCAAGAAGTCGAATAGAGTTTCGGAACTACTCGATTTGGCTCATTCGGACGTTTGCGGCCCCATGCGGGTCGAATCGATGGGGAAGGCAAGATATTTCATCGAGTTCATCGACGACCACTCGAGATGGAGCGAAGTTCGATTCTTGCGACACAAAAGCGAGGCTCTTCAGGCTACTAAAGAATTCATTGCACTCGCAGAAAACCAGACAGGTAAAAACGTCAAATGTTTTCAATCTGACAATGGTTTGGAGTTTACAGGCAAGGACTTCGATATCTTCTTGAAAGAAAAGGGCATCTCCAGACGACTTACGGTTCCATACTCCCCGGAGCAGAACGGAATCGCAGAACGA